GGGGGACATAAGAGGGCAATTTGGCTATATTGCTTTAAGTGACTTCCTCTCTGGATATACATACATTAAATTGCTGGGCATGAAAAATCTAATACAGATATGCTACAAGGATTGGCCTTGGGGTTTGACATATTCCCTTGGATCTAATTTAGAGAATATTTTGCCATGGTTGCTTAGATATCCAGGTGAGCTATACAGGCCCTCTGGGCCTCTTGTTTATTTGTCACTTCACTTATTACCAGCATATTTTGAATGTCTAGCCCATATCTACCAGAATGTCAAGGTTCATATGCTGTAAACCTTTTTACATTTGGTTGATGTCAGTTTTAAGTGTAAGAAACTTGCTAATTGATAGACTTTAACATCACCGGTGTAGCCCTTCATGTTGGTGAAGCTGTTTGCTGTTCAGTGATCACTGATGGTGATGGGTCAGAAGTGGCCAGAGGGAGTCTGCGAGTGATCAAGGTCTCGGTAGACCCCAAAAGGGTGGCCAAAACACAGGTGAGTCAAGTTAAGACTGACTATCTAATATGTTGTGGTCTGATTAGACAATTCCATTGACATACAGGTGCCTGGGTACTTTAAAAACATTTTTTCAGCATTTCTTTGTAGTGCTTTTAATCTATAAGGATCTATATTGAGCATTCAAATCTAAGAACTTTGTAGATAATACCATTAACACCTCAGAAGTACTATATAATCTATCATATAAGGGTTTACAGAATGTTTTGATTAAAGACATTGATTAAGTTATTGATACAACTGTATACAACGTAAATTTAGTGAAGGAAAGAATGTATTTTGTTAGAGAAAAACATTCAGGTTTAACCCAACTGTACTCCTATCATAAGTATGTATGTCGGATGATTCATGTTACAGCATCCTATCATAAGTATGTATGTCGGATGATCCATGTTACAGCGTCCAATCATAAGTATGTGTGTCAGATGATCCATGTTACAGGGTTCTATCATAAGTATGTATGTCGGATGATCCATGTTACAGTGTTCTGTCATAAGTTTGTATGTCGTATGATCCATGTTACAGCGTTCTATCATAAGTATGTATGTCAGATGATCCATGTTACAGGGTTCTATCATAAGTATGTATGTCGGATGATCCATGTTACAGGGTTCTATCATAAGTATGTATGTCGGATGATCCAATTGTTACAGCGTTCTATCATAAGTATGTATGTCGGATGATCCATTTTACAGCGTCCTTTCATAAGTATGTATGTCGGATGATCCATGTTACAGCGTTCTGTCTGTTAAGTACGGAACGAACGGAATAGCCTTACTCGGGAATGACAACACAACAATACACAGTTTAACACAAATATATAAACAACTTTATTTACACTCGATAAGTAAATGATACAAAACGATTTAATATCTTGCCCACACACACACACACACTTACACATACACCAATACTGGGAATACCCTAAAATGTTCTGTCACTTCCTCGCTGTGTTCCTCTAAGTTAAAATGTCCATACAATCTCAGCCATGAACGCGTATGTGTTCCTTCCTTGTCGTGTTCCTGCGAATACTCCGCATCAGCTATGAACCACGCTCAATACTATCCCGCAGGATAGTGTCCATAAATGTACCATGTGTTGATCCACCAAGCCCTATTATAGGCTGTCGTAGTGGGCCTGCTTCGTGAAACTAAAAGCAGCCCATTTCCTGTTGAGGAAACCGCTTGACCTCTGACTTTGATGGTCCAAGTACCGCCGCTGTGTCGTACATGTATCTGGTCCTGGAATGACCAGATCTGGTTCATGTGTCGGCCGGTCTGTCTATGGGTCCACCATATAGCCCCAAGGTAAAAGCTAAGGTAAGATAAAAGAGGAATACTGTGACAGCAACACCATTAAATCCCAAAAGTTCGTGTAATTTGACTAAGATAACGAAAACATCCGTTTGCACTCATGGGCTTCCATACTTCCACAAATTTGACAAACTGAGTTTTCTATTCCAAAATCGACGTAAATTACAACTAAACGTATGATACAATGCGTTGGACATAAAATGATACCAAAAACTGCACAATTCATCGTGCTGGACCACTATGTAAATTAGCTAACATGACATGTATTAGCTTCCACACCTAACACAATGCATGTGGAAAATAATGAAAAATACAATGGCTAATATCTTCAAATTGGCTCAACGTTACATGTACACCACTATCTGAGGTGCATACAACAAATACATGACAAATTAGTACGCGTACATGTTTATAAATGGAATGCATAACACGTGTAAACTTCGCTACGCATGAGTGGTCCGCCACTAAGTTGTTGACACTAGACCGGTTTTCTTCAGGTTAATGTGTGTAAAAACAGCAGACAAACTACAGATAAGATAGATAATAAAAGTTGCAAACACTTACCACAGTCAGCTATCTGTGCTTTTATTCCATTACGGTATATTCTTATATAGTCTCTCCGTATTCATCACGGGTGCGTTTCATTGTCCCCATGTTATGGTCTCCTTTCGCTAACCCACTTACCCGGTCGTGACGTAGTACTTCCGTGACGTCCCTGCGGTAGCACTCCACTAAATATCACAGGTACATAGGACAACACATACAAGCATACACCACAATACTTACAAAGTCCGTAACTATGTATATGCATGCGTGACACTGTCATATGTATGTATGTCGGATGATCCATGTTACAGGGTCCTATCATAAGTATGTATGATCCATGTTACAGCGTTCTATCATAAGTATCTATGTCGGATGATCCATATTAAATCGTCCTATCATAAATAAGTATGTGTGTCGGATGATCCATATGACATCGTCCTATCATAAATAAGTATGTGTGTCGGATGATCCATGTTAGTATGTCAGATGATCCATGTTACAGCATCTTATCATAAGTATGTACGTCTGATGATCCATGATACAGTGTTCTGTCATAAGTTTGTATGTCGGATTATCCATGTTACAGGGTGCTATCATAAGTATGTTTGTCGGATGATCCATGTTACTGTATGTATGTCGGATTATCCATGTTACAGGGTTCTATCATATGTATGTATGAAGTCCGTAACTATGTATATGCATGCGTGACACTGTCATATGTATGTCTGTCGGATGATCCATATTAAATCGTCCTATCATAAATAAGTATGTGTGTCGGATGATCCATATTAAATCGTCCTATCATAAATAAGTATGTGTGTCGGATGATCCATATGACATCGTCCTATCATAAATAAGTATGTGTGTCAGATGATCCATGTTACCGCGTCCTACCATAAGTATGTATGTATGATCCATGTTACAGTGTTCTGTCATAAGTTTGTATGTCGTATGATCCATTTCTATCATAAGTATCTATGTCGGATGATCCAATTGTTACAGCGTTCTATCATATGTATGTATGTAGGATGATCCATGTTAGTATGTCAGATGATCCATGTTACAGGGTGATGATCCATGTTACATGGTCCTATCATAAGTATGTATGTCGGATGATCCATGTTACAGCGTTCTATCATAAGTTTGTATGTCGGATGATCCATGTTACAGTGTTCTATCATAAGGATGTAAGTCTGATGATCCATGTTACAGGGTCCTATCATAAGTATGTTTGTCGGATGATCCATTTTACAGCGTCCTATCATAAGTATGTATGTCAGATGATCCATGTTACAGGGTTCTATCATATGTATGTATGTCAGATGATCCATGTTACAGGGTCCTATCATAGGTATGTATTTCGGATGATCCATGTTACAGGGTCCTATCATAAGTATGTATGTCAGATGATCCATGTTACAGTGTCCTATAATAAGTATGTATGTCAGATGTTCCATGTTACAGGGTCCTATCATAGTATCATAGGGATGTATTTCGGATGATCCATGTTACAGTGTTCTATCATAAGGATGGAAGTGTGATGATCCATGTTACAGGGGTCTATCATATGTATGTATGTCTGATGATCCATGTTACAGTGTCCTATAATAAGTATGTATGTCAGATGATCCATGTTACAGGGTCCTATCATAGTATCATAGGTATGTATTTCGGATGATCCATGTTACAGCGTTCTATCATATGTATGTATGTCGGATGATCCATGTTACAGCTGGAGAGCTCGGTGAGAGTGCCGCTAACATGCATTGTACCAGGAATGAAAGTCACAGCCACAGTAACCAAGGTAACACTATTAGTGTGGTATAGTAATAACAAAAATTGTTATACATTCCTCTCATCAGTTCCCTATTTTCCCAATTCCCAAGAAGTGTGTCTCATAAAAATCAATTAAAGTAGATGTGTGGAATTTCTTTATCATATAATTTTTCATACAATTCCTTCCATCAAGAGAAATTTGTTTTGATTAAAGCATTTGAGCTCATTTATATTTTTATTTATTAATTGGTAATTGTAATATCAATCAAATCATTTTAATAACTGGCCAGTTTTATGTCGATTAATTTTTACAACAAACATATCCTATGAAACTTGAACTGGTACATTGATAAATTGAATTGTAGGCTGATGAGGATCGGCTTCTAGTCACGTTTCTTCAGTTTCGTGGCCATATTCACAGTTCTCACCTACCAAAGCCTGCCGTTACTTATAAGAGCCAGTGTGAGGTATGTAGAATCAGCAATGACTCTGTCCCTAGCAATTCATAGTTTGTATGTATAGAGACTGATCAACAAAAGAAGACACACATGTATATTTTCAATTCATCACATTTGATTAAATTAGTGCTGCCATTTAGTGAAAACTGATTATTACAATAAAAACACTTCTTTTTATGATTACCATAAATTCCTTTAGTTTAGGAACATAGATGGCTTGACATTTTTAAAGGGGAAAGTATAAAATTTAATATCAGCCAGTAGATTTATATTTGAGAATAAGCTAGTGAAAGACAATTTAAGTTAAGACAAACAGAATCTACATTTGAAAATAAGCCAACTATGAAGGCACAGAAGTACTTTTTTTGTACACTAGTATTGCTGCTCTTATATATACCTGCCTTTTACAGTCTAGATAATTATTTCATATACTATTTAACATGGTACTATTCTAAATCAAAGGAAGTGTAGAACGATTTCAGTAATTTCAATTTTTCAGATTGAAGCTGTCATATTGTATGTAAATGGGAGTACAAAGATTGTCTCCCTTTCCGCACTCCCTCATCTTGTCAGATATTCTGGTGTTGCCATAGAGAACCAGTTTGGATCACTCAAGCGGGGAGATGTTCTTACAAATTCAACTGTCAGCAAAGTGGACAGTCGTGTTGGAGTCTGCTTTTCACTTGACAATGGCAAGAAGGCCTTCTGTGATGTAAGGAGTCACTGTATGCTTTTGATGTGAAATTTTGAAGCTGAGTTGGAAAAATGTTACGAAAAATTTGAATCAGAGGGATATTGTTTTGCATTTTCAATGTAATTTAATTTCAAAAGCAACAATACTGTAAAGCACCGATGAACATTGCACGTCAACATGCAAGCTCCACCACCATTTCCTTTGTGTTAATGTAAATGTACTTTTTTAGTGCACTCAAAGTTTAGCCTGTTGTTGAATTGTAACTGGTTTGCATATTGGTGCATTGGCGCACCCATAAAAATATGCAATAGTTAACAACTTGCAGGAACTTCAATCGTCGCAATCATAATTCAGCGCAATATTTAAAGCGCAAAAAAACAATAAAATTAGACTACCGCTATAATATGCATGTTTACAGTAACAGTAATTAAAGGAAAACAAACTGTTTACGCTATTCTTGAATTCCAAGTTTCCTTCTATTTGGGTATGCTAACATTTGATTCTTCAGATAAATTAACAGTACAATCTTTTTTTATGTTCTTTTTTGTTGAAAATAATCATGACTCATGCATCATTTCCACTACACTAGTATGAAGAGATAAATCTAAAGAAAATATGAAACCCAAAATCGATTAACTATCAATTCTTCATACTTTTAATGTAAATTTTGACCATTGTTTCAGATTCCTAATCTCCGTGACCGTTTAGTGGAAAATGTTCCAGACCTCTTCATAATCAACGATACACACAAGTAAGGGACAACCTTCATCTTGTTTCCTTCAGATACTCTGCACAGTAACATTATTTTCTGGTGTTCACTATCATAATATTTTTTTCTTATGAATTAGGGTTTGATTAGAACTTTTTTGATAACCATTGAGATATGAAATGAAAAATTCAACGTAACATTTTTCTTTCTTTAAAACTTGTGTTAAGTGACCATTTGATTTATGCCACTTTTTTCCTGATTCCTTTAAAGGTCACTAAAACAGGATTAAATACAATAAATGCATACATTATTTGATCTGCAGTAAAACAAGAGTTGGTGCTGTAATTAATACTGTATTATTAGTTCACTTGCCTGAACCCGAAGGGCAAGTGAGCTTATGTCATGGTGCGGCATCTGTCGTTTGTCCGGTTGGCGTCTGTCGTTGCGTCCATCCGTCATCGTCTGTCAACTTTTCCTTTAAACGCCTTCTTCTGAAGACTGGACAGGCGTAGAGCCATGGGATTTGACTGAAAGCTTCCTTGGTAGAAGCCCAACGAACTTTGCGAATGAAAATGACCTTGACCTACTTTCAAGGTCACAGGGGTCAAATATGTCAAACACTTTAAACGACATATCCTGAAGAACTAAAAAGTATGGAATCTTTATATTTGGCTGGTGGCTTCCTGGGATAGAGCTTTAAACAAAGTTTAAGAATGAAAATTACCTTGAAAGCAGTGGTCACAGTGGTCAAATATGTCAAAAACACCAAACAACTTCTTCTGAATAATCGAAAGGCATAGAATCATAATATTTGGCTGGTGGCTTCTTAAGGTAAAGGTCACCAAAGTTTGCAAATGAAAAGAACCTCAACTTACTTGAAAGGTCACAGAGATCAACAACATTTTAAATGATTTGTTTTGAAGAACCTACTTTTAAGGTCACAGGGAAAAACATGTTAACACTTCAAACAACTTCTGAAGAAGAATAAAAAAGCATAGAATCATATCATAATATTTGTGTGGTAGTTTCAACTGATGGAGTCTACAAAGTTTGCGAGTGAAATATTTGTACTACAGTATACTATTTAATGAGAATATTTTGCTACGAATGCTTAAATATTCAGGTGAGCGATACAGGCCCTCTGGGCCTCTTGTTTATTTGTGTTCACAAGATGCTGGCGAGTAGTCTGTGATATTATAACGATCATTTTAGGTGCCGTATAATGGATTTCAACCCTGTGGACAACTTGGTGATCATCAGCCTGAAGGAGTAAGTAAACTGAAAAATATAAAATGTTCATCCCTGTTTCAGTACCTTTTTTTACTATTTACAGTGTAGGTACTCATAATGGTAGTTATTGGAAGTTTATTTAGTGTTCATGGGAAATGATTATGATCTACTCCACCAGTTTTGTGGTGATTATTCCTTAAAGGTGTCCAGTGTTCTTCCCTGGCTGTTTTACCGTAACGGTATCATTACGCATTCATTTGACCGTTACTCATTGAGAGGTATTTACGACTGGAACATAAAGTTCTCACAAATTGATAACCTCTTCTCCCCTTTCCAATGAGACTCACCCTCATCAGACTTAACTTTTTATTGTTCTCTATGATCGACACCCTGATCAACGAGATCTGCACTGCGGGAAGATTTACCTGTGGGGATGTGAACTAGCCTACCTATAGGTGTGAAACGTGAACAAAAGACCACAATTACCAGTGTGTAATTGTCTAATTGTAATTAATGATGTCTGTTAATTATCAAGGCGGCCATGTTGTTTTGATAACCTGATTAATCTTAGGTAATCCATGATGCAATGGCTTTTGAAATACAGATGAAGAGTGTTAATCATTTTAGCGCCAATATTATAAATAAATGTGGTTTTCCTAGTTTGACAGTGTAATTACAATAATTCATTTTGATAACTATAATATCACTATTTAAGTTAATATTGAAAACAGCATTGTTGTGAAAATTTTTAGATTTTTTGTTTGCTGAATATCTTATACCTAAGGGATTTTTAATTTTTTTTTTAATGAATTATAAAAATAAATCATTGATTTAAAATTGATTAATAATTTGTCAAAATAAATACCTGTGGTTGGAATATACTACTTAGGTGGCGACGTGGAAATGGTTGACAGCGTGCCACACTGTAATGGAAGGGTTAAAAAAAATACCATAGCTCATCAAAGAATTTATGGGGAGAACACTGGGTGTCATGAGGCAACCCTCTCTTTTCAAAAGCAAAAGTTATAACTTTCCGCTAATATCATAATTAAGCAAAAATTGTATATGATAAACCCACATTAATGTTCAAATCTCCTTAAACAGTGTCAGACAATACAATGTCTTAGAGAGATTAATGGCATCATTTTACGGTTTACCATATCATTAAGTTAGTCTGTGGTCTCCCACCATGATTACAATTAGGATGTCACAAAGGTATCAGTATTTCAATCAAGAGCATCTAGTGTTGAATTACAGTACAATGAATATAAACAACTCCACCAAGTCCATCAAAAATAGGTATACATGTGTTTTCCTTTACAAGCAGTGCATTTGATTTTATGTTTATGTACATTGTATGTTTCTTTGATAGGTCCATCATGACAAAGTTTTTACAGTTTCAAGATATAGTACCAGGGACAACTGTGGAGGTGAGTATAGAGTAAACTAGGCATAAAACGCTATCACGCTTACCCTGTCTTTGTATCTAAATAACAAGATATAGTACCAGGGACAACTGTGGAGGTGAGTATAGAGTAAAC